CAGTGGGATAGGTAGGATGAGAACCAACAAAGAGCACAGTCACGGATACCAAAGGAGTAAAGTTTTTTTGAGGAGGAGGTGGTCAACCGTATCAAAGGCAGCCAAGAGGTCCAGAAACAGGAATACAGAATAGTATCCATTGGTTTTTACGGTTAGTAAATCATTTGTGAGTTTTAGGAGAGCAGTTTCTGTGGAGTGTTGAGGGCGAAATCCAGATTGAAGGGGATTATGAAGGTTATTCTTGATGAAGTGGTTGCTCAGTTGGTTATAGACCAGGCGTTCAAGGAGTTTGGAGGAAAAGGGGAGCTGGGGCATAAGTTGTTAAGATTGGTGGGGTCCAATGAAGGCTTTTTATGTATAGGTGTGATTAGTACATGTTTTACAGTGTCGGGGAAGGTGCCAGAAGACAGGGAGAGAGAGTGAAGATGTGAGTTAAGAGAGTGTAGGATAACTGCAGTATTTGAGAGGCAATAGGGTCCAGGGGACAGGTGGTTAGATGGGCATTAGAAAGACGTTTAGCAACTTCGTCTGTAGTAGCAATGTTGAATAAGGGTAGTGTTGAGTGTACCTGTGGACATGGGGTGTTAAGTTGGGGAGTTAGTTCCCATCAGGTGCTCTGGTCTCCTCCTAAAAACATATAGGTGGGTAAGCTGGCTTTCAAACAAGCTGTTCTTTGAATGTGTATAACTGTGTCATGATTAGAGTTGAACCACATGTGTTCAACACAATGGCCACCCACCTGCTGTATAGCAGAGCTGAATTGACAATTCCCAATGGCAACTGAGGGATGTCCTCTGGAGACCAGGACACCCTGCTCAGCAAGTGTAGTATATTGAACATGTTTCTGAAGGTCCAGTGATGGACTGAATTTTTGATCTATGGCTTAAGTCACCCGTTTCTGAATGTTGCCTCAGGAAAGAGCCTAGCTGGAATGTATAGTAATCACAGTCATTCTGATTTTAGCATAAGAGTGATAAGGCTAGTTATTTTGCTGTCCAAAAAGCCTTTTAGATTTCTGACACAGCCTTATCAGTGTAAAATAAATGGTTTGTTTATTTTGGCACTACAGTTAATAGCATATACTAAAGGCATTATTTTCTATCAGATGAATATGACTATGGAGATTAGTTATAATTGCTTTTGTAGTTTCCCACATTGTGTATTGCTAAATATATAACACTGCAGTGTAAACAGGAAAGGAAACTTCTCCAGCACCTGACCTTGAGATCTAAACTGCTTTGTGTACACACTGAAAGACAAGGGAACGATAATTACAACTGCAGCTGCTTTCTCATCTAGGGAGCAAACAATGGATACATGAATTTACACTAAAGAATGGAAATACCACTTCTGGATAAATTTATATGATGTTAAAAGGAAACAAGGCTTAGCTATAGTACCCTCAATTAACAAAACAATATCATGTATTGTTCTCCCATATAGATTGCCTGTGCCCAGTATAACATCAAATGGCCTGAACAGCAACATTTACAATTGATGTTTAACATAATACAATTTTAGGCATCAGTAGTTTCAAAGAAAAGTATAGTGCATTTTCATCAACCATGTGTATTTTCTGTCAAAGTAGATTTTAAGTTAATAATGCAGTGCATCTTAAAGTAATTTTTATACCGCTTTCACGTTTTTGCAGGGTTGCACTTACATATTTTTGTTATTGTATTATATATAGAGATTTGTAGATTAACTGCTAGAGGGAGCTCTAAGTGGCTCAGTGCAATTATATTGCCTACTTTAACAAATGTCAAGTTAAAATATTAGCCACACAGGCAGTGCATTGCTTTTAAAGAATTGGACAAGTTATAGACTTGCATTGATAGAAGGAGCATGTATGCAATAGTGGGAAGCAGGGTCTGAGTATGTAATGAACAAATATGGCTGCCTACTGTATGTGTACACAAAGTTGAAAATTATACATAGAAACAAAGTTTTTAAAACAATAACACACATTGATATAATTATTTACCTGAAGCTAACCCTTTTAATATGTTTATCTGAAAATCTATTTTAAAAAACGTTCCCTTTTAAGCTTTTTTCTACCAAATCTGCAAGTCCTTTCTATAGCGGAGAAGGTATATCTGGGGTGGTTGGGCCCTTGGACAAGTATTTATGTAATAGTATAGTGCATATACTATATTGCCAAAAGTATTGGGATGCCTGCCTTTACATGCACATGAATTTTAATGGCATCCCAGTCTTAGTCCTGAGGGTTCAATATTGAGTTGGCTCACCCTTTGCAGCTGTAACAGCTTCAACTCTTCTGGGAAGGCTGTCCACAAGGGTTAGGAGTTTGTCCATGGGAATGTTTGACCATTCTTCCAGAAGTGCATTTGTGAGGTCAGGCACTGATGTTGGACGGTAAGGCCTAGCTCGCAGTCTCTGCTTGAATTCATCCCAAAGGCGTTCTGTCGGGTTGAGGTGCAGGCCAGTCAAGTTCTTCCACCTCAAACTCGCTCATCCATGTCTTTATGGACCTTGCTTTATGCACTGGTGCGTAGTCATGTTGGAACAGGAAGGAGCCATCCCCAAACTGTTCCCTTAAGGTTGGGAGCATGAAATTGTCCAAAATGTCTTGGTATGCTGACACCTTAAGAGTTCCCTTCACTGGAACTAAGGGGCCAAACCCAACCCCTGAAAAACAACCCCACACCATAATCCCCCTCAACCAAACTTTACACTTGACACAATGCAGTCAGGAAAGTACCGTTCTCTTGGCAACCGCCAAACTCCAAAACGTCCATTGGATTGCCAGACAGAGAAGAGTGATTCGTCACTCCAGAGAACACGTCTTCACTGCTCTAGAGTCCAGTGGCGGTGTACTTTACGTCACTGCATCCAACGCTTTGCATTGCACTTTGTGATGTAAGGCTTGGATGCAGCTGCTCGGCCATAGAACCCCACTCTATGAAGCTCTCTATGCACTGTTGTGCTAATCTGAAGACCACACGAAGTTTGGAGGTTTTTAGCTATTGACTCTGTAGACAGTTGGTGACTTCTGCGCACTGACTCTGCTCTTTCATTTTACATGGCCTACCACTTTGTGGCTGAGTTGCTGTTTCCAGTTGCTTCCACTTTGTTACAATACCACTAACAGTTGCCCGTGGAATATTTAGTAGCAAGGAAATTTCACGGATGGACTTATTGCACCGTCTGCATGCCTAGGTGCTTGATTTCTGTCAGCGCTCCTGTTGCCGTGCAGCGGTGCAACGGCGACGGATCCCCTCGAGTAGCAGCGGTGCGAGTGCGCAGGCGTGTGCGGCTGTGCATGTGCGGTAGCGTGGAAAGCTCGCGCATGCACAGTAAGCGCCCACGTCATGTCAGACGTCATGTTATTTAAACCTGCTTCAATGTAGAATCACTGGCTTCTGGTCTAGATACGTTCCTGTACACATTGCTTGATTCTGATCCTGATACCTGCACTCTGTATACCCGCATAGAAAGAACTCCGCCTGCACCGACCACGGCTATCCCTGACCACTCTCCTGCCTGCTCCTCTTGTACTTATCTGCCCGACTCTGCTGTATGATTCTGTCTGCATCTGCACCTGACCTGCATCTTGCCAGCGATTATACTCTCCTGCTGCTGCACCTACGTTCCTGCAACCGCACCTGGCTTGTGTCCGGATCTCCTGGGTTCCCAGCTACCTACTGACAGCTGAAAGATCTACACGGCACTCCTGCCCCTCCTGGCTCTGCACCCTTGTTCCCACTTTCAGGAGCTCCGAGCGGGAGTTGTAAGAGGATGCCTTCTCTCCATTTCAGGCTCCCCAATCCGGTACGTGATAGTCACATTGTACCCCGATTCCGCTAGCGGTCCTCTCTACCTCGGCTGGATGTACCTGGGGGCCGCGACCTGGTCCCAGCCTGCTCCAAGTCCATCCCCACCATCAGGGACTCTGGTGAACAAGTAGACTGGGGCTTAGACCCCGTGCCCTGGGGAACCCTAAGCTGTGGGTCTATAGAGCTACCCGCCATAGTCGTGACAATTTCATACACCTGCTGCCAATGAAGGTGATTGGAACACCTGAATCCAATGATTTGGAGGGCTGTCCCAATACTTTTGGCAATATAGTGTATGTACATATTAGAATTATAAAGCCTGTTAGTCCAATTTAGTAAGTTGCGGCCATTTTTAAGTAATTTAAGGCATAATACCTTCTAAGGACAACAATATAAAGACTCAAAAAGGTTAGACATTGCTTTTGAGCAGATTTCATCATCTGGCTTGTGAGGATCAGTAAACCATAGGAGCAGCTTTGGAGGTCTTGATTCAAACAAAGAGTCAGTCAGGTGGGGTTTATGAAATCATAGAGTACTCCTGAACATAGCTTGTTGGAACAGGATAAATAGATCTAGGTATACTATATGGCTAAAGGTTTGTGGACACCTGAACACATCACACTTACACTTACCGACCAAAAGTATGTGGAAACCCCTTTAAATTATTGATTTCAAGTATGTGTACAAAGCCAGCTCCGTAAAGACATAGTTTGAGTTTGGTGTGGAGGAACTCAAGTGCACAAAATTCTTGACTTCATCCTATTAAACATCTTTAGGATGAATTAGAATACCAATTGCAAGCTTTCTTCTCTAACATGTGCCTAAAAAATGGTTTTTTTTGACTGAATGGGCACAAAAACTCTTCTTCCAGAAAAGTGGGGACCACTTTCATATTAGTACTCATAGTTTTGGGACAAGGTGTTCAACAAGTTCATACAGTATATAATGGTCAGGTGTCTGCAAAGTTTTGGACACATGGTATAGGTCTTTGCACAATTATATCTAATAAGAAGAAAGGAGAATCAAACCATTGAGCATCAAAGACACACAATTCTGAGATTATGATTTTTGCCTGAATTTTCACATTAGGTGACAAGAGCTTGCATACTTCAGCTTCCTGCCTCACAACTGTACAAAGCACGTATTTTAATCTTGGGAGTTTTTTTTTTCTCAGTTAAAGACAAGAGGTGTTGCTATACATACTCTCAGACACGGTGCTTTCCTCGAAGGCAGGATTATCAAATCCTTGTTCATCTGACCACACAGGAAGCACAGTTGGAGTTGAGTTTTCTCTCCAGTAGTGCTGTCCCAGCCTTGTCCACATCTGGAGATACAGTTGTTGGATGATCAATTACAGCTGGAATATTTTCTGCTTCAATGTCTATTTGCAGCTTGCTGGCTTTTCTCTGATCTAACACTTGTCTCCGATGTGAAGCTCCTGGACACCTGGAAGTAGAGGATACCTTTACCATGCATGTTTGGAATTAATACGCCAATGTAATATGAAAACTGGTACCAGTCACTTTAGACAGTATGCTTCAAAATCAAGACCATTGCTGTTCAATTCAAATGGTATGAAGATAATACACAGCAACTGCTCGAGACAACTGGTCTACTTCAGACTAGTGAGTGCCAGAATCACTGGCCAATAGTGTATTTTTAGGTAGGACAGTGCCATCAGCTCAGTTTTGTACCTGTCATTTTGTCATAGAAAATCAGTTTATAGTTTTGGATAAAAAAAAAGGACTTCTATTTCTAACTGAGCTTCTAAACACTTTCTATGTGCCATTATACAGCCCATGGCTTTGCGTAGGCATTTCTGCTGAAAAAACAGACATTTGCTCTGTGCTTCTTTTGATGACCTGAACTGTTTATATACCATATAGCCAAAAGTTTTGTGTACACCTGACCATCACACCTGTTCAAATGGTCAAAATAAACAGACATTTCAAATGATTGAATTCAGCTGTTTGCATTGAAATATATTGTTAATGCTAGAGCATAGAAAGACCTTAGACAATTGTGTGCTTCCAACCTTGTAGCAAACACTTTTTAGAAAGGCAATTTCCATTTTCAGCATGACTGTGCTCCTGTAAACCAAGCCAGGTCTGCAAAGTCACGGTCTTACAAATTTGGTATGGAGAAACTTGACTGCCATGCACAGAAACCTAATCTCAACCCTACTCAAAACCTTTGGTATAAATTAGAACATCAACTGTGAGAAAGGTCTTCTTGTACAACATCAGCACCTGACCTTACAAATATTATTTTGGCTGAATTGGCACATATTCCCACAAACCCATTTCAAAATCATGTGAAAAGCCTTTTCAGAAGAGTGAAGGCAGTTAGGAGTTTGCAAAAGGGGAACCAACTCCATTTTAAATGTTAATGGTTTTGGAATGGGACATTAAACAAGCCCATAGAGATGTAATGGGCAGGTATACACAAACTTTTTGACCATAGAGTGCAACGTTTCTTAGTTTTGGATAGACTTTAGAAAGATTAGAACCAATCTAAGTTTTACCATCTGTATCCCTGCTAGGGATATTCACTCTGTCTTGGTAGCTAATAGCAAAAGAACTGTAAGTGAGAAAAAAAAAATAAACATTTTGAGTTGCTACCAGAACAAGAAAAGTAGAATAATCTTCCAAGGGAAACATTTGTTTAGGTGACAATGGTCTAAAAGGAGATTTGACCCACATTCCTGTTGTGCTATGGGTCAGGAAGTGAAAGGAAAATCTCTTGATTGGAACACATGACAAAAGTAAAAATTACCAGGAGTTTTAACATTACCCACTCTATCCAAAATAGAAATAAAACAGAAAATTGTTCCATACTTACCATAATTTTCCTTTCCTGGTGCCTATCCACGGCAGCATTAACCTGTATTAAGCTCCACCTTAGACACCTCCCTCAGGACCAGTGAATATATAAAAGAAAGGATTAAGGTACCCCCAACATTCTCTGTAAATGTAGAATACCAAGGGCGGGATTGTATACTGCCATGGATAAGCACCAGAAAAGGAAAATTAAGGTAAGTATGGTACAATTTTTTGGTTTTCCTGGTGCCTCCATGGCAGCATACCTGTGATAAATATCTAGCTGAAATGGGTGGGATCATGCTTAGAAAACGGTTTATATTCAAAAAATAGGAGGATTTTCATTTTGAAAACGCAACGGCAGCCCTGATAGCTTGTCTGCTGAACTCTACAGATGAGAGAGAGCCCCTGGGTCCACTATGTAGTGCCTCATAAATGTGTTGGAATGACCACGTAGCTGCTCTGCAGATGTCTCGATAGATACATTTGCCTTAGCTGCCCATGAAGTGGAGACAGACCTGGTCGAATGCGCCACGATTGAAGAGGGGGTTCCAAACCCCTGGCCCTGTACGCCTTATGAATTAACTTGACTATCCATGAAGCAATTGTTCTTGATGAAGCCTCCTTTCCCTTTATTTGCCGCAAGGGATGACAAATAGATTAGTTCGAATCCCTAAAGGATGCTGTAGCTTGAAAATAACACCTTAACACAACGGCAATGTCGAGCTCATGGAAGGTACCCAATTCAGTGTCTGAAAAGGTTGGCAGAGCCCATGGTTCTGAAAGACTGGAAAATGAAGAAACCTTCAGAACAAATCTGTGTAGTGTTTTAAGTTCTACCCTATCTGGGTAGAAAGTAATGTAGTCCTCTTCCGCCCCTAGGGCTTGAAGTTCTGACACTCTTTTACTAGATGACACTGCTATTAGAATGGCCACTTTTAGAGTCAGATTCCACAAAGAAGCTAATTCGGATGGAGAAAAGGGTTGGCTAGATAAAGCCTCTAGGACTACAGACAGATCCCAGGTGGGAAAAGTTTTTTTGACAGGTGGATGTATCTTCTTAAACGCCTTTGAAGAATTGGACCACAAGCGAATCTTCGGCCCACCTCTTGTCTGTTGCCACCGAGATCGCTGTCACCTGCACGTTTAAGGTGCTCAGGCACAGACCTAGGTTAAGGCCTGCCTGGAGGAAGTCAAGAAGCTGAAAAGTGGAGGGCAGATCTGGATTGAAGTTCCTGTTAGTTAAAAAGCTTTACACTTGTTCCAAACCTTGTCATATATATTAATTGTAGAGGGTTTTCTGGCTTTGAGTAGAGTCAAAATAACCTCCGAAGAACATCCTAGGGCCTGGAGCCTCTGCCTTTCAACAACCATATATGAAGATTCAATTTGTGAGGATTCGGATGTGTGTGCTGATTCTGACACAGAAGAAAAAGGTATGAGTTAGGTTTTTATCAGTGAGCGAACACTGAGAACCACCACTACATGAAACCCCATGGACGTCTTGGCCAGTACGGTAGGACTGCTATCACTGTTGTGATTTTCATCAGAAGTCCTGAAAGGAACTCCAAGATGAGAGGTCGGGGGGGCGGAATGCATAGGCCAGGCTGCATACCCACGGACTCGAGAGGGCATCTATTGCTTCTGCCTTGGGGGTGATGTAGGCGTGAAATGAACCTCGGCACCTTGGAGTTGTCTGCTGTAGCAAAGAGATCCAGATCGGGAAGACCCCACAGATTCACAATCCAATCGAATATCTTGGGATGCAGAGACCATTCATTGGCATCCACAAGTTTTCGAGACAAAAGGTCCCCCTTCGTATTCAGGTAACCTGACAGATAGATTGCATTAAATTCCTTTCTGCCCAAAAGGATGATGGGTTCCACTTCTCTCAATAAGGACCTACTGTGAGTCCCCTGTTGTCCATTCGGAGAAGGACTGGCTTGCGTCTGATTTGAAACTCCAGGGCTATCAGAGCGAGAAAAGCTGCTCAAATTTCCAGAAGATTTGAGATGATTCTTTTTGTGAGAAATGCCCATTTTCCTTGAATTGACACCTGGTTTCAGTGTGCCTCCCAGCCAATCGCACTGACGTCTGTTGTAACTATGGTCCAGTAGAGCTACCCCAATGGACGCGATCTTACAAGCATTTCTTTCTTCGTCCACCACTGTAGTCCCCTGTGCATCAGACTTGTCAAAAATATGGGCTGGGATAGGTAAAGCTTGTTCCATGATCTTAGAAATTCTAATAGAAATTGCCTCAGGTGCCAGTGGACCCATGGAATTGGGATACATGCTGACATCATCCCTATCAGACTCAGGCAGCTCGAGGCTATCAGGTGGGATCGTGTCCTCACTTTCTCCATCTTCCGTATGATGGCTGTCATTTTCTGAGGCGGAAGGGACACTGACCCCTTGGAAGCGTCGAACAGGGCACCTAGATAAATCATTTGCTGTGTTGGGATAAGTTGAATTTTTGTTTGATTTATCACCCATGTGGACTCTGATAGTATGGAAATCAGAACTTCCCTGTGTTTTGTTAGTTGGGATGGATTTTTTCGCTAGTAGTAGGACATCGGCCAGGTAGTGATATACCCTGAGCCCAACTTCCCGTAATGGGGCTAGGACTGCGATCAGTACATTGTGAAGACTCTGGGAGAAGTACATAGACCAAAGGGCAAACTCTGGAACTGCAGATGAATCTGGCTGACTGCAAACCTTAGATATTTCTGAAAAGGTGGGAGTATGGGTATATGCAAGTACGTGTCTTGAAGGTCCACTGACAGCATCCAGTCCCCAGGTTGTACAACGTGGATAATAGTCTACAGTGATTCCATCTTGAAGCTCTCCAAGAGCATGTAATGGTTTAATTTCTTGAGGTCTATTACTGGTCTCTAACCGCCATTCCTTTTGGATACCAGAAATAGGTTGCAGTAAAAACCTGAGTACCTCTCGGATGGAAGAACCAGTATTACTGCCTGCTATGCCTCTAGGGAATCCAGAAATTAAAGAAGTACCTCTTTCTTCTGAGGAGACTCTGGTATTCACGTGGGGGTGAAAAAGTTGTGAGGTGGCCAGTCTGAGAAAGCTCAGAAGTGTCTGAACTGAACTGTCAAGACCACCCAGGGATCTAGGCATCTTTGCATCCAAACCCTGGCAAAATGCCTCAGTCTGGCTCCTACTGGGATTGCCAAGGATGGCCTGGCGTCAAAAGGATTTGGTGGTGTCCTGCAGGTTAGGTAGAGCCTTTTGTTTGTGGGTCCTCAAAAAAGTGGATTATGTGCCTCTCCAGGCCTTTGAGTCTCTGACTTGTCTGAACTGCCTATAATCTTTGCCCCTGAACTGCTGAAATTTTGAAGTAAATTCCCAGGACTTCTGTCTTGGGTTAACAGGCCAGATTTTCCCCCTGTAACATGGGAAATGGCCTTTTCCAGCCTTCCTCCAAACAGTGCTTTGCCATCGAAAGGGATTTTACACCAATTTTGTTTTGATGCCATGTTGGCTGCCCACGGCTTCAACCATAAGGCCCGCCTTGCCATTACGGCATGCAGCATTGATCTTTCATAAGATCTTATTGTATCGATAGCTGCTTCACCAATAAAGTCAGCCTAGAGCTTGAGCTCATCCAAAGCCTTGACTATGTCTTCCTTGGGAACTCCCTGTTGGATAGCCACCTCTATGTTGTCTGTTCATACTAGCAAAGCATTGGAGACAGATGTCAGCGCAATTGCTGGCTTGAAAGCATTTCTGCC